TGAAGGGTCAGTGACTTACATATATATATATATATATATATATATATATATATATATGAAGAATTATTTAGTGGACTGGGTGTATCATGTCATAATAATGTTTATGTGGTACACCAGTCCAACAAATACTCAACATTTAGATAGTTTCATCTATGTCAGCTTTTTATAATTATGATTATTTTTCATAATGTGTATTGTATTAACAGTTGAGTCAAAATCACCATAATAATTCTACTTAGTTCTATTATATTAATTGGTTAACTTTAAATAATTATATTTTTTTTAAATATTTTTTCACGCGTTTAAATTTATATGGTAAACTTAAACGAAGGTTGATATTTCTTTTTTTACTCTTTTTTTTTCAGTGAATACTGCTTGTCATGGGTAGCAACGTATGTTTTTATAGACTATATTTATCAGGCTATTGTACGCCTTTGTAAACAATAAGAAAATTTTGAGCAACGCGGCAACGCCAATTCACCTTGTGCGGACTATTGTGTGTCTATTTACAGACATCTATATTGAAGAATTTGCTCAGCATTTGTGACTTAATTTTGAAGCAACCAATGATGATATTTCACATTCTTGAAAAAAATTTGATTTAATTGGCATCTTGTGTGGCCATACATTGCGATTTTAGATTAAGCTAGTTAGATAGATTTACATTTTAAGCCTCTGTCTAAATTTTATATTGATTAATTTATTTCAAACAATTGAGTTATATACATGAATACAAGTTTTCATGTTTCTTTCCTATTTGAGTAGTTTTTTTTTTTTTTTTTTTAAAAAAAAAACTGGATTGATTTTATTCTTTATGTGTTTAAGGATATAGTCAAAAAAAAAAAACTGGATTGATTTTATTCTTTATGTGTTTAAGGATATAGTCCGCAAAACATATGCCTCTGACAAGAGCTCAAGCAACGATTTAATATTGAATTCACAAAAGAAAAATAATAAGCGTTATTTAAAATGACTAATCAGATTTAAATGTATAAATTAATATTCTAAAAATAAAAGAAAATTATTTAACCAATCAATATAAGGAATTCAGATAGAGTAATTATTGTTATTTAGACTAAATAATACATGCATTATACATTACAAAAGAAAAACATAACTATGAGAAATGAACATGAACAAAACAACTCAAATGTTAAATTGTTATTAGACAAATGTACCACGTAAACATTGACGTGGTACAGTTCACTGAATAATTTATATATATATATATATATATATATATAGTCCGCAGCCACGCCCATATTCAATGAACCAAATCCACGAGTGAATCCAATGCTATATATGGGAAATAAAAGGCATTTTACCCATATGCTTTAAAGTGAGTCGGCAGGTTGGATTTTTTTTTTTTTTTTTTTTTTTGGC